AGCGGCTGAATCTGGACGCCAGTTCCGACTTACATACAGATTCAACTTAAGAACAAACCTACAGTCCCTATCTTGTACGTAACCCGGGGACTGCCTGTACTCCTTCCTACACAATCACTTACCATTCTGTATGTGATACTGATTGTTCCTTCGTAAGTGGAGTATTGTGCATTTATCCCTCTTATACTTCTTCCTATTTACCTCAAACCATTTCTCTAGTTTCTTGAGATCATTTTGAATTATGACCCTAACCTCCAAAGCACTTGCAACTCCTCCCAGATTGGTATCATCTGCAAACTTAATAGTCATACTCTCTATGCCATCATCTAAATCGTTGATGAAAATATTTAACAGAACCCATCCCAAAAGAGAACCCTGCAAAACCCACTTGTTATGCCCTTCCAGCAGGATTGTGAACCATTAATAACTACTCTCTGAGAATGGTTATCCAGCCACTTATGCACCCACCTTATAGTAGCCCTATGCATTTCCCTAGTTTATTGATAAGCAGGTCATGCGAGACCGTGTCAACTGCCTTACTAAACTCTAGGTATACCACCTCTACTGCTTCTCCCTTATACACAAGGTTTGATATCCTATCAAAGAAAGCTATCAGATTGGTTTGACATTATTTGTTCTTTACAAATCCATGCTGGCTGTTAACTTTCACCTTAAAATCTTCCAGATGTTTGCAAATTTAATTCCTTAATTACTTGCTCCATTATCTTCTGTGGCACAGAAGTTAAATTGACTGGTCTGTAGTTTCCTGAGTTGTTCTTGTATCCCTTTTTATAGATGGGCATTCATTAATCTCTCCTGTCTTCCATGATTTTTAAAAGATGATAGCTACAGGCTCAGATACCTCCTCTATCAGCCCCTGGAGCATTCTAGGATGCATATCATCAGGCCCTGGTGACTTGAAGACATCTAACTTTTCTAAGTAATTTTAAACTTCTAAACCTGCCTCAGTTCCACTAGCATTCACTATTGTTAGGCATTCTGTCACCATCAGTCTTCCTGGCAAAAATCAAAATAAATAAGTCATTAAGCACCTCTGCCATTTCCAAGTTTCCTGTTATTGTTTCTCCCTCTTTACTGAGAAATGGGCCTACCCTGTCCTGGGTCTTCCTCTTGCTTCTGATATAATTGTAGAATGTCTTCTTGTTACCCTTCATGTCTCTAGCTAGATTTAGTTCATTTTAGCTCGAAGTGAATTGTAAAACTCTGGATCCCTCATAGTGACATCTTTCTACCAACCTTGTCTCATCGCAGTAAAGATAAGTGAGCTGCCTTCTATAAGGTGATGAGACAACATGGAAAGAGAATGGCATGCTGAAAACTGATGGGGTTATCCAGGAGAAAGAAGACGCCAGCAATCTGCAATGATTCTTCAGAAGAAGTGAGTCTTTATAATTATACATAAATGCAAATTACAAGAAGAAAAAATAAACAGCCTTAAAAATCACCTTTGGCCACAAGTTCATGCAGACCTATGAATCAGGGTGCATAGTCCATCTCATATGCATGGACTGAGCACCTACCTATATAAAACATGTGTGGGGCGAAAGGGAAGGTAAACTGGAGTTAATCCCTTCCTCACTGGGGACATGAAGCTAACATGTACCATCACATTAGTTATATAGTACATTTTTTTATGCTGACTTCTACTGGAGTTACTTACTTTACAAAGTATGCAATAAAGCAGCTCTTGGGAGGCGAGCCCACCCCGCACTAAACCCGCGGTCGCCCTGGCGGTCCTCGGGGTGATGCACCCCCCGATGGAGTTAATCCCTTCCTCACTGGGGACATGAAGCTAACATGTACCATCACATTAGTTATATAGTACATTTTTTTATGCTGACTTCTACTGGAGTTACTTACTTTACAAAGTATGCAATAAAGCAGCTCTTGGGAGGCGAGCCCACCCCGCACTAAACCCGCGGTCGCCCTGGCGGTCCTCGGGGTGATGCACCCCCCGAACCGCTCAGCTGAACGGCAGCGCCAGGGATCCCCCGTTGGCCGTGGGCTGGGGGGAAGGGGGGCGAGGAGGCGGAGCCCAGGTGCGTGGCATGGGACGTCACCATGCCGACTCACCGGAGGCGGGAGGTTCAAAATCCCGGCGGTCGCCGGCGGAGGGAGGAGGAAGGAAGCGGAGTAGAGCGGAGTGGGGTAGGAAGGTGGAGCAGAGCAGAGTTAAGCGGAGTGGGAGGGCGGAGGAGGAGGGGGACCTGGACACCCCCAGGCGAGCGGAGACCGGGAGTGCGGCAGCAAAGCGACGCCGCAACTCGGGTAGGGAGGGGGATAGGAAGTAGCCCAGGGCAGGGCGAGGAGCCGGCGTGCTGGTGGGTTGCGGGCCAGCACCCCTCCCCCCCCCCAGCAAGGCAGGGTTAATTGATCCTGACCTTAGGGCCCTGGGCTGGGGTCCAGGAGTGAGGGAGGGCCCGGACCCCCCTATCTCCCCCTGCCAGTACAGGAGATCGGAACCGCAGTGACCCCAGTGCGGCAGTGACAAAAGGAGGAACTTTGGGAGTTGGACAGGGGTGGCGGGGCGCCACTCTGTCACACCATGCAATAAAATGTTAATGGATTTCCCCGCTGCGAGCCATGCTTGCTTCGTCTGCTGACATTTGACACAACTTGAAGATTGTATTAGGCAGTATGATCTCTTGTAATTATATAAATTATTTCCTTGAGATGCGCGCCCAAAGATGTGGTGATACGTGCACAAATGTTTTGAAAGAAGGAAAGGATTCTGATGTTTCATTTGAGTTACACTAAAGGGTTCTTCTTGTCTTTCTCACAAACACCCTCCCCCCACACACACAAATACACACACACTTCTCCCCAAGTAAAGATATCTTTGCTGGGTGGCAGTTGATTTTTGCACTGTTTTCCTGATGGAAATATTAGCAAAGGAAATAACAGATATAGAGACCTTGAATTCATAGATTTCCTTCTTTGCTGTGTGGCATGCAGCCATAATCGGAAGTCTGCTAATTTATTTTTCCCTTCTCTACTAAGTCTCCAACGTTTGTATAGTAATCACTTTTCTGTTGTCACTAGTTTGTAAGACTTTGTTGTTGTTGCTGAAAATAGATGAGTTCAAGGGAATTAAATTGTCTGCCTTTTTCAAATTGGTGCTTCAAAATCTTACTCAGAACCAAAAAATGTTTGACTTCACTGAAAAACAGTGTGCCATGATGACGATGGTGCAAAGTTCACTGTCATGAATATGGAAAAGAATTATATCTGTTGCTGTTGTTGATGTTATTATTATTATTATTATTATTATTATTATTATTATTTTGAATTAGCAGCACCAGAGCATCCACACTACAGTTCAAATTCCATGGCCTGTTATTTCAAATAATGGGCTTATATATTTGACCTTGTGGGGGTTAGTTCAAAATAAGGTCCTAGTGTAGATCAGGGCAGAGTCTCCTCTTTTCTAAGATGAAAGTTCCAGTCTTTTAAATCTCTCCTCATATGGTAGCCATTCCAAACCTCTAATAATTTTTGTTGTCCTTTTCTGAACTTTTGCCAATGACAACGTATCTTTTTTTGAGATGAGGTGGTCACATCTGCGCATAGTATTCAAGATGTGAGCATACCAAGGATAGATATTATCTGTCTTATTTTGCATCCCTTTTTTTAATGATTCCTAACGTTCTGTTTGCTTTTTTGAGTGCCACTGCATATTGAGTGGATGTTTTCAGAGAACTATCCACAATGACTCCAAGATATTTCTCTTGAGTGGTAACAGCTAATTTAGTCCCCATCATTTTGTACATGTAGTTGTGGTTATGCTTTCCAAAATGCATTACTTTGCATTTATCAACATTTAAATTCATCTGCCATTTTGTTGCCCAGGCTCCTAGTTTTGTGAGATCCTTTAGAAACTCTTTACTGTCTGCTTGGGACTGAATTATCTTGAGCTATTTAGTATGATCTGTAAATTTTGCCACCTTAGGCTGTGTCTAGACTACATGGCTCCATTAATGGAGCCATGTAGATTAGACAGATCGGCAAAGGGAAATGAAGCCACCATTTAAATAATCGCGGCTTCATTTAAATTTAAATGGCTGTCGCGCTCTGCCAACCAGCTGATGATCAGCTGTTTGTCAGCAGATCGGGGCAGTCAAGATGCTCCCGCGCCCACCTGAAAACCCTTTGTCGACCTCCCCCTTATGCCTAGTGGGATGAGGTTTACCGGGGAGGTCGGCAAAGGGCTTTAAGGTCGGCGCAGGAGCGTCCAGACTGCCCTGATCTGCTGACAAACAGCTGATCATCAGCTGGCCGGCAGAGCGCGACAGCCATTTAAATTTAAATGAAGCCGCGATTATTTAAATCTCGGCTTCATTTCCCTTTGCCAAATAAACAAATCTACATGGCTCCGTCGACGGAGCCATGTAG